CGTACCCAGCGCAAAGAAACTAAAAATCTTGAAAAAAAAGTGGAAGAATTGATGGCTAGAGTAATTAATGCAGAGAAGGTCATAAACGAAATGAAAGAGATGAAAACCATGACACGAGAAATACGTGACAAATGCACAAGCTTCAGTAACCGACTCGATCAACTGGAAGAAAGAGTATCTGCGATTGAGGATCAAATGAATAAAATGAAGCGAGAAGAGAAACCAAAAGAAAAAAGAAGAAAAAGAAATGAACAAAGCCTGCAAGAAGTATGGGATTATGTAAAACGACCAAATCTACGTCTGATTGGGGTGCCTGAAAGTGAGGGGGAAAATGGAAGCAAGTTGGAAAACACTCTTCAGGATATCATCCAGGAGAACTTCCCCAACCTAGTAGGGCAGGCCAACATTCAAATCCAGGAAATACAGAGAACGCCACAAAGATACTCCTCGAGAAGAGCAACTGCAAGACACATAATTGTCAGATTCACCAAAGTTGAAATGAAGGAAAAAATCTTAAGGGCAGCCAGAGAGAAAGGTCGGGTTACCCACAAAGGGAAGCCCATCAGACTAACAGCAGATCTCTCGGCAGAAACTCTCCAAGCCAGAAGAGAGTGGGGGCCAATATTTAACATTCTTAAAGAAAAGAATTTTCAACCCAGAATTTCATATCCAGCCAAACTAAGTTTCATAAGTGAAGGAGAAATAAAATCCTTTACAGATAAGCAAATGCTTAGAGATTTTGTCACCACTAGGCCTGCCTTACAAGAGACACTGAAGGAAGCACTAAACATGGAAAGGAACAAACGGTACCAGCCATTGCAAAAACATGCCAAAATGTAAAGACCATCGAGGCTAGGAAGAAACTGCATCAACTAACGAGCAAAATAACCAGTTAATATCATAATGGCAGGATCAAGTTCACACATAACAATCTTAACCTTAAATGTAAATGGACTAAATGCTCCAATTAAAAGACACAGACTGGCAAACTGGATAAAGAGTCAAGACCCATCAGTCTGCTGTATTCAGGAGACCCATCTCACACGCAGAGACATACATAGGCTCAAAATAAAGGGATGGAGGAAGATTTACCCAGCAAATGTAGAACAAAAAAAAGCGGAGGTTGCAATACTAGTCTCTGATAAAACAGACTTTAAACCATCAAAGATCAAAAGAGACAAAGAAGGCCATTACATAATGGTAAAGGGATCAATTCAACAGGAAGAGCTAACTATCCTAAATATATATGCACCCAATACAGGAGCAGCACCCAGATTCATAAAGCAAGTCCTTAGAGACTTACAAAGAGACTTAGACTCCCATACAATAATAATGGGAGACTTCAACACTCCACTGTCAACATTAGACAGATCAACGAGACAGAAAGTTAACAAGGATATCCAGGAATTGAACTCATCTCTGCAGCAAGCAGACCTAATAGACATCTATAGAACTCTCCACCCCAAATCAACAGAATATACATTCTTCTCAGCACCACATCGTACTTACTCCAAAATCGACCACGTAATTGGAAGTAAAGCACTCCTCAGCAAATGTACAAGAACAGAAATTATAACAAACTGTCTCTCAGACCACAGTGCAATCAAACTAGAACTCAGGACTAAGAAACTCAATCAAAACCGCTCAACTACATGGAAACTGAACAATCTGCTCCTGAATGACTACTGGGTACATAACGAAATGAAGGCAGAAATAAAGATGTTCTTTGAAACCAATGAGAACAAAGATACAACATACCAGAATCTCTGGAACACATTTAAAGCAGTGTGTAGAGGGAAATTTATAGCACTAAATGCCCACAAGAGAAAGCAGGAAAGATCTAAAATTGACACTCTAACATCGCAATTAAAAGAACTAGAGAAGCAAGAGCAAACACATTCGAAAGCTAGCAGAAGGCTAGAAATAACTAAGATCAGAGCAGAACTGAAGGAGATAGAGACACAAAAAACTCTCCAAAAAATCAATGAATCCAGGAGTTGGTTTTTTGAAAAGATCAACAAAATTGACAGACCGCTAGCAAGACTAATAAAGAAGAAAAGAGAGAAGCATCAAATAGATGCAATAAAAAATGATAAAGGGGATATCACCACCGACCCCACAGAAATACAAACTACCATCAGAGAATACTATAAACACCGCTACGCAAATAAACTGGAAAATCTAGAAGAAATGGATAATTTCCTGGACACTTACACTCTTCCAAGACTAAACCAGGAAGAAGTTGAATCCCTGAATAGACCAATAGCAGGCTCTGAAATTGAGGCAATAATTAATAGCCTACAAACCAAAAAAAGTCCAGGACGAGATGGATTCACAGCTGAATTCTACCAGAGGTACAAGGAGGAGTTGGTACCATTCCTTCTGAAACTATTCCAATCAATAGAAAAAGAGGGAATCCTCCCTAACTCATTTTATGAGGCCAACATCATCCTGATACCAAAGCCTGGCAGAGACACAACAAAAAAAGAGAATTTTAGACCAATATCCCTGATGAACATCGATGCAAAAATCCTCAATAAAATACTGGCAAACCGGATTCAGCAACACATCAAAAAGCTTATCCACCATGATCAAGTGGGCTTCATCCCTGGGATGCAAGGCTGGTTCAACATTCGCAAATCAATAAACATAATCCAGCATATAAACAGAACCAAAGACAAGAACCACATGATTATCTCAATAGATGCAGAAAAGGCTTTTGACAAAATTCAACAGCCCTTCATGCTAAAAACACTCAATAAATTCGGTATTGATGGAACGTACCTCAAAATAATAAGAGCTATTTATGACAAACCCACAGCCAATATCATACTGAATGGGCAAAAACTGGAAAAATTCCCTTTGAAAACTGGCTCAAGACAGGGATGCCCTCTCTCACCACTCCTATTCAACATAGTGTTGGAAGTTCTGGCTAGGGCCATTAGGCAAGAGAAAGAAATCAAGTGTATTCAGTTAGGAAAAGAAGAAGTCAAACTGTCCCTGTTTGCAGATGACATGATTGTATATTTAGAAAACCCCATTGTCTCAGCCCAAAATCTCCTTAAGCTGATAAGCAACTTCAGCAAAGTCTCAGGATACAAAATTAATGTGCAAAAATCACAAGCATTCTTATACACCAGTAACAGACAAACAGAGAGCCAAATCAGGAATGAACTTCCATTCACAATTGCTTCAAAGAGAATAAAATAACTAGGAATCCAACTTACAAGGGATGTAAAGGACCTCTTCAAGGAGAACTACAAACCACTGCTCAGTGAAATCAAAGAGGACACAAACAAATGGAAGAACATACCATGCTCATGGATAGGAAGAATCAATATCGTGAAAATGGCCATACTGCCCAAGGTTATTTATAGATTCAATGCCATCCCCATCAAGCTACCAATGAGTTTCTTCACAGAATTGGAAAAAACTGCTTTAAAGTTCATATGGAACCTAAAAAGAGCCCGCATCTCCAAGACAATCCTAAGTCAAAAGAACAAAGCTGGAGGCATCACGCAACCTGACTTCAAACTATACTACAAGGCTACAGTAACCAAAACAGCATGGTACTGGTACCAAAACAGAGATATACACCAATGGAACAGAACAGAGTCCTCAGAAATAATACCACACATCTACAGCCATCTGATCTTTGACAAACCTGAGAGAAACAAGAAATGGGGAAAGGATTCCCTATTTAATAAATGGTGCTGGGAAAATTGGCTAGCCATAAGTAGAAAGCTGAAACTGGATCCATTCCTTACTCCTTATACGAAAATTAATTCAAGATGGATTAGAGACTTAAATGTTAGACCTAATACCATAAAAATCCTAGAGGAAAACCTAGGTAGTACCATTCAGGACATAGGCATGGGCAAAGACTTCATGTCTAAAACACCAAAAGCAACGGCAGCAAAAGCCAAAATTGACAAATGGGATCTCATTAAACTAAAGAGCTTCTGCACAGCAAAAGAAATTACCATCAGAGTGAACAGGCAACCTACAGAATGGGAGAAAATTTTTGCAATCTACTCATCTGACAAAGGGCTAATATCCAGAACCTACAAAGAACTCAAACAAATTTACAAGAAAAAAACAAACAACCCCATCCAAAAGTGGGCAAAGGATATGAACAGACATTTCTCAAAAGAAGACATTCATACAGCCAACAGACACATGAAAAAATGCTCCTCATCACTGGCCATCAGAGAAATGCAAATCAAAACCACAATGAGATACCATCTCATACCAGTTGGAATGGCGATCATTAAAAAGTCAGGAAACAACAGGTGCTGGAGAGGATGTGGAGAAATAGGAACACTTTTACACTGTTGGTGGGATTGTAAACTAGTTCAACCATTATGGAAAACAGTATGGCGATTCCTCAAGGATCTAGAACTAGATGTACCATATGACCCAGCCATCCCATTACTGGGTATATACCCAAAGGATTATAAATTATGCTGCTATAAAGACACATGCACTCGTATGTTTATTGCAGCACTATTCACAATAGCAAAGACTTGGAATCAACCCAAATGTCCATCAGTGACAGATTGGATTAAGAAAATGTGGCACATATACACCATGGAATACTATGCAGCCATCATAAAGGATGAGTTTGTGTCCTTTGTAGGGACATGGATGCAGCTGGAAACCATCATTCTTAGCAATCTATCACAAGAACAGAAAACCAAACACCGCATGTTCTAGCTCATAGGTGGGAACTGAACAATGAGATCACTTGGACTCAGGAAGGGGAACATCTCACACAGGGGCCTGTCATGGGGAGGGGGGAGGGGGGAGGGATTGCATTGGGAGTTATACCTGATGTAAATGACAAGTTGATGGGTGCAGCACACCAACATGGCACAAGTATACATATGTAACAAACCTGCACGTTATGCACATGTACCCTACAACTTAAAGTATAATAATAATAAATAAATGTAAAAAAAAGACATTTATGGACATACAACAATAAAATTCATATTCAATTTTTCTCTTTAAAGTTTATTTCCAAGTTCACCTTTAGCTTCTTTAACTGCTGTTTCTTAACCTTCCCTGGCATCTCCATAATGGTGATGGCATCTCCTGAAGTTGGTGTTTCCAAGGGCATTTCCCCCTTTATTTGCTTTCTATCTCACTTCTGACGTCCACTTCCACCTGTTCCTCATTCCATACAAAATTCAATTTTAATCAGATATTCATTGTTTTTCCAACCACTCACATGCTTCAGAAGGTGTTGTCTTCCCTACCATATCCAGGGAAGTAAATTCTGAGTATTGTTTCAATCAAGGTAATCCCACTCCTCTTGCCAATAATTCCTTTAGGGAAGGGCATGTAGCATGTATGGTCAAGGAAACACTACTGGAATTCTAGTAGAGGCTTCTGGGAAAGATTTCCTCACACCCAAAGAAGTAGCACACGAAGTGGCTTTTTCCATTTTCTGGATGGTGCGGCATGTTTATATCACTTCTGGAATTGCTACATCCATCCTGTAACCATGAGAGAAGAGTAGAAGATGAAAAAGAACTTGGGTTCTTGATGACATTGTTGAGTCATTAAATTAACCAATCCTGGGAATTTACCTGACCTTTGAACTTCTGTCATTTAAGACAATAAATTATTCATTCAGTCCTTTTAATCTGAGTTTTTTGTTATTCTCTGTCAAAGGCATTGTGATATGTGGTCCAAATTTATTTGTTAAACCCAGACCTCTCCCTGAATGTCCCTCTTGGATATACAACTGTCTATCAGACATTTTTATTTGTAATCCTAAACTAATCCTAACCTTACCTAGTTCTGAACTCATCACTTCCCCCCTTTTAAACCTATTGTTTCACAAGCACTTCCCATCTTGTATGATGGCATCATCAAGCTCTCAAGACAGAAACACAAGTTTTCTTTATGACTCTTACCTGTATTTGATGTCCCATATCCAATAACTGGGTCTCTACAAGTTTTATCTCTAAGACTTCCACTCTATAGTCCATCCAGCGCTACATCCTCGTCTTGATTATAGTAATATCTTCCCTAATTATTTGTCTAGTCTCAGCTTCATCCTATAAAATCCATTTCCAAGTTTATGTAGAGTGATCTATTTGAAACAGAAATCTGATGTGATTGCTCACCTGCTCTGATGTCTCATTACTTAGAGAATAAATCCAAGTTTCTTAACTGAACACTCAGGTACATGCATGATCTGACCTTTGTCCATGTACTCTTATTCATTCATTTTATCCTCAAATATTTCTTGATTGCTGAGATATTATAATCATTGGGAATATAGGCAGATGTTATTCCCTGCCTTCCCTGACTTTGGGAGCTTACAGTGTAGTGAGGAAGATAGACACTAAGCAAATGATCACCCTCGTGATGAGTGTAATGGGGAAGTTCAGTATACTAGCTTCTTCTCTCATCAGTACTTGCCTTGACCATTCCCTGTCTTATTCTCTCATTATTACTGCACTGCTTACAGTTCTTCACATAGACCAGGCTGTTTCTTGCCTCTATGCCTTTGCCCAAGCAGTTATCTCTGCCTGAAATGCTTTCCTCACATTTCTTCACTTGGCTAACTCCTTCTCGTCCTTTGAGATTCAGCTCAGCTTCTTCCTGGAAGCCTTCTTTGAATACCCTAGACTCAATTTGATGCCCTCATCTAAGCTTCTATAGTATGCTTTTTGTTCTTCTTTCTTAATGGTGTACCATGTTGCATTTAGTATCTACTAGTATTATTATTAAATTTATTGTATCTCCTTCTTTGACAAGACTGCAAGCTCTTAGAAGATAAAAGACTGAGTTATATTTATTTATTCTCTATCTTATGGCACATGAAATATAGTTAACAAGAGTTTATTAAACATAACAGAAATTTCTAATGAGATTTCAATTTCTCAAGGACTGGGCATGTTTTATAATTTTACTAAGTATACCCTCTTGGGTCATTCACGTTTTTTGTTTTGCATGACTATACTTGTCATACTCATTCCTCATATATTACAAATCTTACTCAATGTTAGCTCCTGGAATGCCCTTTCCTCTAAAGTTGGTGTGTTCCTTTCACCCACCAAAACCCAATATTCTGTAAGAATGCTTATCGGATGCTGCCAAAAGGAATTAATCACTCCTTCTTCTGTGGTGTCTCTGCATTTTTACACACTTCTACTATTGCATTTAGAACACAGTGTTATAATTAGCTCTTTACATGCTTGGTTCACAGTATAATTATAGTAGCATGGTAAGGGTTTCAATACAGGTGTAATGAGAGAATTGCAGAGGACCTGACCTGCTTGGAGAATGTCACTTTTGGGAAAATCAAAGCAGATTTGGAGGTTGCCTATTTCAGCCTCTTCATGTTTTGATGGGGAAACCAAGGGCCTGAAAGTCTGAGTCAGTTTCCTCCTCTATAAAATGTCTAGTTATCTGTGAACTGTGAATCAGAAAATATGAATTATTTTACACATAATGAGAATCAAATTTTATATAATCCTACTCTGTGACTCTCTGGTTTCTGAAGGACAAAACATTTTGGTAGAGTCTCAGTGAACTGCAAGGAAAAATAGCTCCCAAAGTTAAATTTAAGTGCTTCTGGGAGACAAATTCAAAGAAACTTGGTTATTGAAAATACAGTAATGTATTTGCCTTCTATAGATGATGTCTTTATTAAATACAAAGAAGGCAGGCAATTCAGCTCAGTACAATTTAAAAAACTGTGCATTGTCTGTGTTCTAAAGTGTGTGTGCTGGGATGAATGCGATGAGACTCATTGATTGATCTCCAAAGACTCAGAGGCTCAGAGAGCTTCTGTCATAAACCTAAGGTGGGATTCTGCTGGGGATTTTCACAGGTGTGAAAACATTCTCCCAGTTTATGCCCTATTGATGGCAAGCAATTGAGTTGTCATCTTCCCTAGGAGCATATACAAATGAGAAAATTCTTGGCCAAGAATCAACAAACAAGTAAATAAACTCTGCTGGGACCTCAATAATACTTGAAACTAATGAAGTTCCCAAGGTAAGGCTGACAAGACACATTTGTGTTTGCTCCATTCCAGGGTGCCATGCCCAGAGAAATCATTGGTGCATTGGAATAGACCTTGGACTTGGAGCCAGAGATGTAGTTCGGAAATCAGCTCTGCCATTCATTGGTTTGGTGACTTTAGGAAAGTCGTTCAACTCCCAGAGTTTTGGTTTCTCCATCTGTAAAGTGGGTATACTGGTTCTAGCTCACAGGGTTCTTGTGAAGATCAAAATAAGTCATGGATGTGAAAGTTGAATAAACTTCAAGCTTAATATGGTAATCACAATAAACAGTGTATCTAGGAGATGAGAAAGAAGGAAAGTAACACTGTTAAATCCAAATGCTGTGTCTGATTTCTGTGTCGATGAGGAAGATAGTTTTGCTTTCCTATTTCTTTGTGAAACTAAAACATCTATATTAATGTATATTTGAACACGAACTTTAGCGGACTATGTAAGAATGATATAGGAATATACATGGTTATATATAGCAAGGAAGAAGAAGAAAATAACTTTTAAAAAATAAATTTTAAGTAAAATATAGGGAAATAGCCACCTATATGCTAAGTAATGTGTTATCACTCAATTTTTATTATTTTAAGAACACTTTTTCATGTATATGCTCTAGTGGAACTGAAGGATCATATGAACCTTGATGTCTGAGACTATATTGCAGTTTAACTGAAATTGTTTTATTAAGATGGAAGGACACGTCAGAAAACCAAGGAAAACTATATTTTAGTAGTAGGTATTTTAATTTTTTGTATAAAAGTCTATCAGTAGAATATACTCTTTAAAAATAATAAGCATCAGGAATTTGATTCTATTCCAAGTTAGAAGTGGTAATATAAAGTTAAAAACTAACACTAGCTACGATTCTGTTTAGTAATGAGGAAAGAACTTTAGGCTGGCTTTTAAAGATTAATTTGTTAATTAGGTGAACATCTGGGTTTTGGTTCATCACTTCCCTTGGAAACCTTGATTAATTTATGAAACTTTCATCCTCATTTACTAAAAAAGCAGTGAGTCATCCGGTGTTACACACCAATGACAGCAAAAGTTAATTGGATTCTAGATCCTTTCACATTTCTGCTTTCAGCAATTCCTTGCCACTTTGAGTGGAACCATGCGCTAAGGGAGTCCGTGTATTTTTGTGTGTGAGAGAGAGATAGAGAAATGAGAGGAATTACAAGTAATTGAAAAGTGAGTTTGAAAAAATAAGAATATATGTTTGTATTTTCCTTGGTTTGTGGCGAGAAACTCTGGAGGTATACACAAAATAGCCAAACCAAACCCCAAAACTAACAAACACAGTTATCTCAGTGCATGGTTTTGTTTTGTTTTTTTCTAAATAGAGTTTTGATTTGTGAATCGTGTGAATGTACTATTATCTTTTCAGAAAGGGCTGTTGAAGATTGTCTGTGGATTAAAGTGTTTCAGAATTGGGTTTAGGAAGGGGAAGACAGAGACATAGCTGCAGTTCATTGTAGTTAGTGTCTGGCCTCCAAATAAGAGATGCATCAGCAAAGAGAACACCCCCAAGGAAGGAGCGGGGGCACAAGACTGAGAAAGAAAGGGAGAGATGGATGGAGCTGCGGTGGATGGCTGACTTACTTTCTTCTGGCCCTGCAATAGGATTGCAACCTTTTTTTGGCTCTGCTACTTACAAATTGCATTCAGCTTAGAAATCCCTCTTTAGATATATACCTGTATATGGCACATAATCTTGGTCGTGGGAAACAATACTCACAGATGAAGGGGACCTCATCACACTGGTTCTTAATCTCTTACTGCTTTTGCTTTGCCTCTCGTTGTTCCTTCATCCTGTTTTCCTTATCAACTTTACTTTTTGGGCATATTTTATGTTGTGATTTTATGCATTTATTGAGCTACCATGAATCTTTTCTGGAATTGGAAGGAGCATGAATGAATATGTACATAACTAATCTGGGGGAAATGCTAACAGAGGAGTAAGAATACAAGTGATTTTAATTGTTTTATGGTGAGTCTTCTGCATTTCCAAGTATACATATAGTTTTACGAGGGGCATGAATTTCTTTTCTAATCAGATATAGTGGTTTTTTTTTTTTTGTTGTTGTTTTTTTACTAAATGTAGACAATAGTTGTGGTAGAACTGATGGACTTTTCCAACAGAACAATATATAAGGGTAGTAGAGAGAGAGGACCAGAAAGGAGTCATGGGACTAAAGTCTTAATTTTCTTTTCAGCCTGTGCTTCTATGAAAATGCAGGAGGGGCAATGTACCCACAGTGGCTTGCTTAAAACTTTTAAAAAACAAATTCTATTTTTAGGACTTCTTTTCTTCTATTTAAAATGATAGGCCATTAGAGAGCAAGATGTTTATTTTTATAATTCCCTATAATCTAGACTTGATTGCACATTGGGAAGTAAGGATTAAAAAAACCAATATCTACAATTTGATTTTTGTATAATATTTTTACTCTATAAGACAAAGAATTAAGACCACATAAAAGCAAAAACAATAATTTATTTGAATCCATCTTTCCTTGAAAAAAATAAAAATAAGACTTTAATAGTCGTTTCCTTAACTGTGTACAAATCTTCTCAAAAATACTACTGGTGATTGAAAAAAAAGAGAAAGCATAGTTTTGTTTTTGTAACAACCATCCTTATTACTTTGTTGTACAAATAACAAGATAGAAATTTGGAAATAAAATTGAAACATAAATTTAGGATTCCTAACACTAATAAAAATTTAATAAAACAAAGTCTGCTGAAAAATCTAACAATGTAAAGTTTCCACATTTGTAGGTGAGACAGGATAGTCTCAGTGTTGATGACAGTGGAAGTATAGAGTGGAACTAATTGAGCTTTGCAGAGATATTTCGTACAAAACGAAAGAGGAAACCCCTGTCATTTTCATTCTCCTCATCGGCATGAGAAAGACTGCCCACTGAGGAATATTTCCCCAACATGTTTTTCTGTTGCACAAGACATTGTGTATATGCTGAAAAACCTGCAGTTCAATTTGCATAAATGCCTCTATTCTGCATGTAAAGGAGTAATGAGTAAGATGTGTTGGTCTCGGTTTCTTCACTGATTCCAGATTAATATACTTTTCCACTGTTTTTCCTTAAAATATTTCTTCAGAATTTCACTCTAATGTGCTGTTTAGCCCATGAGAGTTCACCTAGTGAAGAGATATACAAAATATGTAAACAGTTCTATAGATTTTTCAGGTCTGCAGGTAAAAGAACCTTAAATTCTTTTATTCCTTTCCAGGGCTACAAGTTAGATCAACATTTGGAGCTAGCTCAAGAAAATTACATTTATCAACAAATAAATATAAGAGAAGGCAATTATTAAATTTTGTAGGTAATTTACTTTTGAAACTAAAGGTTTACTTAACTTGAATGTCCTGTTTTCAATATACTAACATCAGTCTTGGGTTCAACATAAACCCTACCAAGAGCATTTAATGAGGTCAATAGACAATATTGAAATACATCCAGCCGTAAGTTCAATAAATAAATAATTGGGCTGAGTACTAGAATATGAACACAAACCAGTTTATCAATTTGTTAAACAGCAGTCCAATTAGTTAATAGACACATGAAGTAAAGAAAATAACATTGTTAGAACAGTCTAAGAGCCAAAGAATAAAATTATTTGGCTGTCTTTCCTGCTCAGAAGTGACTGCCAAATAAAAGAAAGCAGTGAAGTTAAGATTCTTTCCCCAGAGCTGGCACATTCACATTGGGAATAAGAGATGGGAGAGTTTCACCAACCACCTATAATAATGCATTACTCACAAAGTTGATCTTTGAATTTAATTGGACCTAGAGGAGAATAAACCATAGGTAATCAGGAAAGAAAAATGCTCTCTGCATCTATAGGTGGCATTTATGCTACTGAGAATTATTTATTTTACTAAGAATCACTCATCTTTAGTTAAAATAAGTAAACAGCAGCCCACTAAACTATAAAATCTTTAAAAAATGGTCTTATTTAGTGTCTTGCTCTAGCACATAGTAAACGTCCTGGAAATGTTTGTGAATTGATTATAAGTAAAATAAGTACAAACTAGTTTCTGATAAGGAAAAAGGAAGCATTTCGTTTATTTATTTCAAAAATTGGAGTAAGTAACACAAATCTGAATTCAAATAAAATAACACTTTAAAAAATATTGGCTCCCCATTTAGATAAAGTTAGAAGACAGAGTAGGAAATTTTTAAGAAGGATATTACGGATAAGGGAGACAGTTATGGAGAAAGAGAAGAAAAGAGAAGGGTAGATTCAGAAAAGGAGGGGTTCAAAGGATGAAGGTAAAGGAAGAGAGAGCCACGGGAAGACAAAGACGTATGCAGATAAACTAACAAACACACAAAAAAAGATTGAGAAGACAAGAAGAAGGTGAGACGAGAGAGTCTGTGGGAGGTGGAGATGTCACTCAGATTGGGCTGGTAGCATGAACTGGGGTCTTGAGGGTGACTGCCTTTTGGAGGAGCATGTCCTAATAGCAGTTTTGAATACCTTTTGAATAGCAGTTTTGAATGCCTGAAAAAGAACATTTCTGCTTTGTTTTCAATTCTCAAATCTTATTTATGAAATAAACTTTTATGTTCTTAAGAAAGTCAAAAGATTTTGCTAGTGTCTAAAAGTCATCTAATTTCAAAGGGTGTTTTTTTTTTTTTTTGAGAATCAGTTTTTTTGACATGGAAAACAACCCAATCACTATTTTGTGTTCTGAAATTGTAGCTGCCATGTTCACAATTTTGACTTCAAATTTATTTCGTTCTTGAGAACCTTAAAAGATAAACCCCAAGTTGTCATTTGGTTTGTTTACATTCTGATGTGAAAAATTGATAGTTAGAAGAAAGGATATATAGAAAAACAAATGAATTTAAATAGGATACAAATTTTAATTAGATTAAATCTTAGAAAGGAGACATAATCTCAAAATTCTTTCAATGCCTTATATTTAACAGCAAACAAACTTCCCCTAGTTTTCTATTATAGACAGTAAAGAGAATTAGGTATCATTTTAGAGAGTTTTTATTCTTAAAATATCATGTAATAATATCCTACTCTTGTGTTCTACTAGATTAATAATGCAACGCTTTACAACATTTTTTTCAAACTAGAAGTTTCTAGCTCCATCAGAGTCTGTTCCTTATTTATGTGACTCTAGGTAAATTTTCTCTGATGAGGTTCTCTGAAGTATGTTGTCACTTATTTAGACCTTAAATGATGCACAGTCCCCCCAGGACTAGGTTTCCTCCCCATAAGATAATTTCCCATGGATTTGTTCACTCCTAGCTGCTATTTTTGGTATTTACCCAGAAGTGTGCATGAATTACTTTGCTGGAACTGTTTCTTTTGCCAGAGGGGAAGTTTCTGTATGTGGTTATTGATGTTCTTTTCAAAGTCAATAAATGACAAAGAAATGATGGAAGATGATCTGTGGCAGTTATGCCTGCAGGCAGCTACAGCCCACAAAAAAGAGTTCATCTTATTATTTCAAAAGGTTGTAGGCTTTATTTCTCCATGGCAGGGAGGAAAGAGAAATTTCTTAGTGACAGCCTTGAAGGTTCCCAGCTTTGTCCTCAGCACCGGTTTTGTCCTCTATGGGTGAGAGGCCAGTCCTCAATGGGTTCCACTCACTTGGGAATAGGCTACTTTGAATAAGAGGATGGGCATTGGTGCTGACTGTGCTGTGGATCCTCTGTAGGCTTTTATTTTACTGGTCCTATTTTTAGTGACAAATCATCATGGCTCTAAAACTACCATAGCCACTGGAAAATCATTAAGTAATCATTAAGATGGCTACAGAATTGGCATGAATATTCCTTTCATACCCAGATGTGGATTCCTTGGGGAAATATTGTGAGAAAGAAATGTACACAAGAAAAAGTTGATTCTAGAGTTTTGTATCTAGTCCACTGGCCCAAGTGCATGGCCCTAGAAGATACTTGTGTGCTTGCCTGTTTTGTTTCTCAAAATTATGTTCGGGTGGGGAAGTATGCTTAAATGTACAGATGCTGTAATTTCTTGTTTTGGTATTTTTCTTCTGTGCCTTTTAATCAATTCTGGGGAAAGCAAAAGCTAAATGCTTAGCCTCTCCATAGCACCATCAAATGCAGATTCATACTTACTCTGGCTGGTCTTGCTGCTGGGCAGGGATGTGCTGAATAACTTCATATATTGTACTGTGCAAATCTTGTCCTGATATACCATCAGAGACTGGAACAGATCTGCTTGGGATCTAGAAAATGTGGCACATTAAAAATAAAATATCTCAATACTAGTAAATAGTTTTTCCACTATGCTGCATAGTTGAAAACAACTGGCAGTAGTGATGATTAGAGAATTAGAACTATTTATCTTCCCTAGAAGGCTGACATCCTCCTTGCTACACTTTACTGCACTTACCCTATGGCAGTTTATGCAGCAGCATAGATATAAGGTCAGAAGAAGGATAGCTTGACAAAGCTATGGCTTTTTTTCTTCATTTAAGAAGAAAGGTGGCAGTGCTGGAAAGGAAATATTACAGAAAGAAAAGAAATAGCAAAAGAGAAGATGTCAGGACATCTTAGAATCAGCACATATTATTATCTTTTCTATACCGCAGTTACCCTTTTGACACTATTTGCCAATTATGTGCACAAGGGTGGCTTAAAAGCAAGAACAATATACAGCCCAATTGAGGTTCTCCCAGTAAAACTCCAAAATTGAGTAGTGATTAATCACATGGTAAGACTTAAAATTTCTTATATAAATCTCACTCCTTTCCAGTGAATTCCTAGGAATAAAAAGTGTGTATTATTTTACATAAAAAAACTGAAACTCCTTATTCAAAAATTCAATTATAAATTTTAGCTGTTCAGTTTCCTGCTTTCCAATTCGAAGCCACACCTCAGAGTGGTGCTTTCTGCCATCGTGAGAAGCTGTTTGAAATAACTGATCCATCAAATATTTGTTTTTGTCTTTCGGTTGTGGAAGTGAAGGTGAGCCAATCCTGCCTGAGATTGAATAGGGTATTGCAAAGCCTTTGCAGGGCAGTTCTTCCCTTCATCTGTGACTGTTACCGACTCACCCTTAGGGAGGATGAAATCCAATCAGTCCCTCTCCATTACTCACATGACATTTCTCAAATAAAGTCTGTGGTCAGGAGGCTTACTGGATGAACCTTATACATTGACAGAATCCTCTGAACAAGAGAAGTCACCATTCCCTAATGGCAAATAGTCCTTTTAACAAACAGAAATGAGAATGACTGGAAGCAAGTAATCTGTTTTTATGGTGCCCTTCCTTAAATGGACTCTCATAGCAGAATAAGGAAGCAGAGGAAAATTTTGTTCTATACAAATCTGTAAAAGTGTTAATAATCTGATTCGCTCAGAGAAACATTCTGCATGTCTTAAGCAAAACTGATTGCTTTAAAAAACTTTTTTTTTTTTTTTCCCCCGGACTGAAATGACTTCAACTATAAGAAAGCTCCCTTGCCATCTCATGCACCTTTAGGGCAATAATAAAGATGTATACTTATATACTTTGGGCCTATATGGCAACTTCCTTCTGAAGCATGAGGTACCTTTAAGAGTGTGATCAATTGTCTTTCAAAGTTGTCAAAATTTATGAGGGGGCGATAAAGGGAAAACTGAGGAACAGAGATAGTTCAGTAAAGTGATGGGTTGTAGTCACCCAAGTGATGCAGAATGACTTAAATCAGGGTCTCCTGATCTTCTGTTTATTCAGTATTTATTTATTTGAGACAGGGTCTCACTCTGTTGTCCAGGCTAGAGTGTGGTAGTGTGATCACAGCTCACTGTAGCCTTGAACTCCTGGACTCAGTGATCCTCCTGCTTTGGTCTCCCGAGAAGCTGGGACCAGAGGCATGCGCAACCATGCTTGGCTAATTTTAAAGTATTTGTTGGGATGGGGTCTCTGCCCAGGCCGATGTCAAACTCCTGGGCTCAAGTGATCCTTCCATCTCGGCCTCCCAAAGCCCTAGGATTACAGATGTGAGCCACCGTGCCCAGCCTATTTATTCAGTTCTCCTGACTTTCAACCTAGTTAGTTCTCTCTTCACTGAGATTACCAGGTAAAGACTATTTATGAATTAGCATAACTTCCTTATTTGTGTTAGCTTTACTTATAAAGGTGAAGTAAGATGCTTTAGCTCCCCAAATCTGGCAATGCCATTCATTATGGAGTAAGTCAACACTGCTTAATGCAGTAATGGGTAACGCAGCCATTTGACCACACTGCCCAGTGCTTAAACGAATGCTGCTTACACCTCTGGTGAAGCAGAATTCTACTTCTTGGTTAATCAGCCACTAGGAAAACCAACCCTGGAAACACCAGAAGCATCTGGAAAAGCAACAAATTCATATATTCCGAAGTCATCCAGAGCATCTTCATGGCCTGAAATGTAAAACAAATACTACTTACAAACCAAATGCCTTAATTTGCTGTTGTTTTTTTAAAACTTTGTAAAACTTATCTTTATTGTCTGCTTTAAATGGTATAGGTACAAAATGAATTTAACATTTCCTAATCCCTATAGTTGTATTGCCATTAAGCAGTGTTGGAAATCACTCTTTCTGAAGCTGAGAATCGAAACTGAATTGGAACAATTATTCTTAAGGCCAGATGTGAGAATAGCCTGTTGTATCTTTAAATACACATAGGTGGGCAAGCTTGGCCTTTGTAACTCTCAGTTACCAGAGACTCATGGTCATCAGGGCTTTAGCCTGAAGGTCACAGCAGCTCTTGATCCACCCATAGTATCTACTGCACCCTGTTAGATCTAACAGAGACCATCAGAACTAAACAGAGCAAATAACTAACTGAAGCTTCCCATACATAAAAGGCAAAATACAGTACAATATCAATCCACATAAACTATCGTCTACAGAATGATGGGGGTAGAGGTGGTTAGGAGGAATGAGACAGCCTCTGGGGCCCTTGCCAGCTCTGACATTCTGTCATTTATAAGTCAGGAAGGGCTAGAAAAGAGGAAGAAGGCCCACATTTATTACACATCCAGGCATCATATCAGGCACTCCACCTCATTTTATTTAATTCTCATGGCAACTTTAAGGGGGAAGTTTTTATCCCTATTATTTAGAAGAGGAAGTTGTGGTCAAGAAAAATAATTTTCCTAAGGTGATATGAGGGGAAAGTGGCACATATAAAACTGCAAATTGGCTCCCTGTGACTCTGTGGCCTGAGCAAAAACTCCATTGTTAACTTATAATAACTCAGTACAGTCAATATTGATGGTAATGAGGGTTACAATGGGGACAAAGAAGCAACCCTGGCCCCGGCCAAACCTTCTTTTCCTCTTCCCTTTGGGATGGAGCTGCCAGCATGAAACCTACCTTAGGAATGAACAAAGTGATAGAACGCTTTGGCATTTTCAAAATAATGATAATAGAATCAATGAAGTAGCAGAACTAACTTCATTGATCCTACTGACTGTGGGCAAGTGACTTAATCCCCTTCATGAGTAGTTCTCTTGACTGTAAAATGGAGTTAAGAGTGCCTTCCAGGCTGATAATACAGACTTGTGTGACTTATATAAAACCAAAACAGAAGACAGCACTTTGTAAAGTGAAGGCACTAACTCAAAGGTAAGAGACTGTTATGTTAATTTTAGCTCATATTAATTATATTACATTAATAATATATAATAATATTAACACAACTAATTAACATACATTAAAACTGATAATAGCCCTTTTCAGCCTGGCCATTACCTGAAAATGTTTGAGCTTTCCTGTATTCTGTTTCTGGCCTGAAAAGACAAAATAGGTATTTTTGTCAGGGATAATAATTGAGGAAAAAGCATCTAAGGAAAGAACTATTTTCATAGAAACAGATGCATTACCTGCCTTCTAGTTTCTGTTTTATAACTAAAATCAAGAGAGAAGAAAAATGGTAAGGTTCCTTTTAGTACACATATACAGCTTCAATTTTTTTTTTTTGTAATTTTAACCTACCTTTGTAGGGTTGATATTTTTTCCATAGGAAGAGAAGACACATGGATATAATCAAAAATAGTGATATTCCAGTTATACTTGCTAAAGGTGACAATGATTTTCCTTTTTGTGCAAGCTTCTCCAGTCCTAAATAAAAAGATAAATATATTTTTAGCAATAAATTGCTACAGTTTATAACTTGACTTTTTAAATGCCTTATTTTAAATGAGACGCTATTTTAAAAAACCATATAAACATGTATATTAGAGACACAGAGAGAGAGAGACCAAATGGAAGGAATACACTTATTTTACAACACACACTAAACTCCTTAGGGATACCTGTGATTGGAAATGTGGTGCACTGCCCAAGTTAAAGCTGATTGTGTTGTATTAGATGTAGCAAATATCTCATGTCGTACTTCTCAGTTATGTTTGCCACCTTAACTTAGATCTGTTTCGTCTCATCATCTCTACAACCCTAAATGCTAAGTTGTTCTCTCATTTTCCTTCCATTTTGCTTTTTTAGCATAATTCAAGTATGTGAATTTTCTAGGGAGATGGCATGTGAATAAAGGTGCGAGAGGGGAGGTGTTCATTTCAAACACACTTTAGTAATTTTTTGCCAATAAAGAAATGTCTCTTACCATAAATGATGAAAAAAATTAAAAAGAAAAAAAAGAAACATCAATTCTTAAAATAGGATGTATGTGTGATTTTTAAAAAAATATTTAAAGTCCCACCTTTTGACTAGAATTCACTTTGTTTCATAAGTCATTCCCTTTATTAATATCACTATATAAAATATGGTGCTAATAGCATCTGCTGGGTGCTTACAATATGTCAGGCTCTGTTCTAAGGGTGGATGATACATATTAACTCACTGAATCTTTACAACAATCCTATAAAGGAGAGATTATTTTATTATCCCTTCCAATAGAGGAGGAAGCTGAGTCTTGCCCAAAGTCAATTGGGTTATAAGTGGTAGAGTCCAGAAGTTACCCCAGACTCTTAACACTAAATGATGCCTCCCTTTAATATAATTTCAACACAACTTATTAACTGTGGCTATGTTAACACCAGCTTCAGGCTATAATATGTTTAGTTAATCTATCTATCTATATATAATCTATATATATAGTTAATCTATATAATAAGAAGTAGTTTTAACCTCCAACAAATGAAAGTAACAGATGTCTTCCATATTAGCATGTGAATCAGATATGGGTGTGGAAATAAATCATGGCAGTTGCCTGTCTCTGTCTAGATTAATATGGGAGTGAAAGTCATGTGATGCCCTTTCTGTTCAGCAGTGGAGAACAGCCTGGAAAATCTGGGTGTGGTGAAGACCATGGTGGCTACACAGCTCTGCAATAAATATCCAGCCTGCACTGTGTCATCTTTCACCATAAAATCTCTGCTGAGATCTCCAACAGCCAAAATAAGGGGGGAAGCCTTAATCTTTTCTTTCTCTCAGTATAAACCTACATTAACTCTCTTGGCTTTTCCACCTAGAATACTTCCATTTCTTAATTTTACAGGAATCTTTTAATAATGTAGTATAGATCATATGTGCAAAAATCTAGTAAACACATCATGGAAATCAGTTATCTCTTCTAATTTCCCCATACAACACCATTCCCATATTCCCCTTAAGTCCTAAAAGAGTTTGACAAGGTTGTTTTTCATTATCAAAAATCTTCACAATTTCTGATGGGGAGTTTATAAATTTCTGACATGCATTCAGAGAATTGCATTCTTAAAATGGTCTTCTATGGGATTATAATAGCTGTGTCCTGCTTATTGCCTTTAAACAGATTTTAAATTAAACTCTTTCAAACCTTAGCTAGAAGAAATAAATGAAAGGCAGCTTCAAATGAACTAGAATAGCAATTTATTGATCCTAGATATAGACTAGGACATCATGAAGCTTATTAGATTACTTTTGCCTCATAATAAGTTGTAGAATAATTTATATTCTCCCACTGTTAGGTTGACCTTTAGATTGGAACCACTTTGCACTTGGGTAGTCTCTTTGTGAGATCTTAGTCTTTTCTCAGATATTATTCTCTTGTGGGATTGTTCTCTCTAAAGAGCTGTGTAACTTTGGGTGAGCCCCTTGACTCTCAGGGTTTTGATTTTCACATTAGTATAATGAGGAGGCAAGAGTGACTGGCATTTAAGTTTTCTTCTTGCTCTGATACTCTATGACTTGGAGGAGCCAGAGAAGTTTACATAAAGTTATGTAAATAGGACTCTATATCCGTGGCATGCTAGTAACAAAGTCTTCAAAAAATTACACATATATATGTTATTTTAACACACCATATAAGCACACACAATACACTTTTAACTTTAATTTCCATTATTTTCCCCTCATTTCCTGAAGTGTAGGCAATGTAATTACAGAGCAACATTTTTCTGAGTTTTAAAACATAGTAATTTCATTATCATTAAGTCCAAAATATTTTTTAATTTTCACTGCAATTTCCTATTTGACTTATGGGTTATTTAGAAGTCTGTTGCTTAATTTTCTTAAGTTTGAGAATTTTCTAGTGTTGTTTCTATTATCGATTTTTAGTTTAATTTCATTCTTGTTAGAGGGCAATCTTTTGAAGTTTGTTGATTTTTTTAAATGACTATACAAATAGTCATATGAAGAGGGTGTATTCTGCAGTTGTTGCATGTAGTATTTATATTATTTCAACTAGGTGAGGCAGCTTTTCTCTATTCCTACTGAGTTTTTGTCTGTTTCATTAGTTACTGAAATAAATATGTTAAAATCTCTCACTTTGTGATTTTTTGGGTCAATTTTTGCTATTTATTAGGTATACTTCCTAATGCTTCTTGTCTTAAAGAATTTATCTAATTCATCTAATTTTTATATACTTTATCTTATACCTGTACAATAAGTCCTCACTTAACATCAGCTGATTCTTGGAAACTGTGACTGAGCAAAACAACATATAATGAAACCAATTTTACCGTTGGCTAATTGATATAAACAAGAGCTAAGTCTCTACAACATATTTCTGGTCAGAAAAATATCAGAGGTCTACATAAAGATGCCAAACATTTCTAATATCAAACACTGAAATAAATGTGAGCTCTACATACATTTAATAAAGATTAATGAAAACAAGTAAGATCATTATTTACTCCATTTTTGGTGAATCCGTGAATGATGGCAGTGGTAGTGGTAATACGTTAAATCAAGGAATAAATGTTTACAAAGTGAAAATTGTGAAAAGCACCTCCTAGCATCATGCAGTGCAAAAACTAACATCACAAATCTGGTAGTCTTGTGGAGCACTTTCATATCACATCATTTATTGTCATGCATTTATATAATTATCTTAGATTTTATAAATTTTTATTTGACAATCATTCGTATTCATTCATTCATTCTCCAACCTGCTTATTCTAGTTCAGACTTGCAGGTGGCTAGAAGCCTATCCCGGAAACCCAGGGCACAAGGCCGGAACTAGCCCCAGACAGGGTACCATCCCATTTCAGGGCACACTCACACACATACCCACACTAACTCAGACAGTGACCATGTAGATATGACAGTTCATTGAATATGCACATCTTTGGGATGTGGGAGGAAGCTGGAATACCTGGAGAAAACCCGTGTAGGTATGGGAAGAATGTGCAAACTGCACACACACAGTGGCCCCAGTGGGAATTGATATTTTTTCTCATCAATATTATAAGGAAATGATGTTGAAATGAAATAACATTATTAGAAGACCTGCTATATAGCTACGCTGGCTTTCTTTTTTGTATGATTTATCTGTTCATTTACTTAATTTCAACCTTTCAGTATCTTCGTACATAAGGTGTGTATCCAGTTTGACATGTTTTTTAGTTGGAATATTTAGCGCACTAAGACCTAGTATGATTAGTAATATATTTCAGTGTAGATGTACAATCTTATTATTTTTTTCTATATTTCCTACCTTTTTATTTCTTTTCTCTCTCCTTTCTTGTCCTAATTTAAATTAATCAGAATTTTATTTATCTTTTCTTCTCTATTTCCTTGTTAGTTATACATTTTTGTCTTTTAGACTTTAAGGATTAAGAATTCTAATCAAAATTAATAGTTTTACCACTTACTGCTTCTATGATACAATAATTAGTTTCATATTACAGTTGGGAAATCTAAGACTCCAGTACTCAAATTTGAATTTAGCAAGGTCTAACAATAATTCCATGCTCTTTCCACCACTCTTGCCTAATCATTATGGAAGAAACAGAAATCCTTCCCCCAAATGAAGCCCAAATCTACTCAGTTCTACTAATTGAAGCAACAACAAATAAATCAAATCCTCTCTGTATATGAGACCATCTTAATTGTTTGATGAAACTCTCACATTTCCCCCGAGAATCCTCTTCTTCAGATTCAACATCCCCAGATCATTTTGTTGTTCTTTACATAATAGAATTCCATATTCTCTACCATCCTAGAGGTGCACTTTTGGAAGCCCAACAAAATTTAGTCAATTTCATTTCTAAGATACACATTTAGAAGGACCCATACTTCACTGTGGTTGTCAATAAGATAAAGGCAAATAGAATGCTCTCTGAGACAGTGACTGTGAGAAAAAAGCAAAAAAAAACCAAAAAAAAAAACAAAAAAAAAACCAGAAAAATTGATAAGAAATAATAAAAAAGAAAGAATTGATAAAAAATACCAAATGATAGAGTGGCAAGATTTAACATATATCATATGATTTGGGCACCACTTTTAGCAAGTGAATTCTCTATTTCATCATTTTAGATCTGACAATAAAGTCAAAACTAGCTAAGGGAATTTTCAGATAATGCACAATTAAATATATATTAAATATTATATATATATAAAATCAAATGTACATTTGTTTTCCATTTACAAAAGAAAATTCATAACACCATTTACAGTTACAGATAAAGAAAGAGTCTCAGAGAAGCTAAAATATTTGCCATAGTCAGTAAGTCCTAGAATTGAGAGTAGACAGGTTTTTTTCTGACTTCAAGTTCAACTTTTTCTGTTAATCTGTGGTCAAAGATTGGTTTTTCCAGTTAGTAGGTAGGCTCTTATATATCAGTTTTTCCTCTAACTTTTTCTGACATCAGACTTCATGTGCTTGAAATCTTTCACTTCTT